TCGCTGTCTCTCTGTCTCTATCTCTCTCTGTCTCTGTCTCTCTGTCTTTCTCTCTCTATCTCTCTCTCCATCTCTCTGTCTCTCTGTCTCTGTCTCTCTGTCTCTATCTCTCTCTGTCTCTTACTGTCTCATTAGCAGCTCCATTTTTGCTGTCTTTGCCAGTCCCCTGTCTCCGAGGAAGAACCTTCCTGGGTAATTAGAATCATAGAGCTGTACAGGAGGGAAACAGACCCTTCGGCCCAACCCATCCGTGCTGACCCGATCTCCTACATTAATCCAGTCCCATTTGCCAGCATTTGGCCCATATCCCTGTAATCCCCTTCGTATTCATGTCCCCATCCAGGCGCCTTTTAAATGCTGTAACTGTACCAGCCTCCACCACTTCCTCTGGCAGCTCGTTCCACACACGCACCACCCTCTGAGTGAGAAAGTTTCCCCTCAGGTCCCTTTTAAATCTCTCTCCCTTTCACCTGAAAGCCATGCTCAAAATCTGTTTCTGAGCTGAGACAACCTCGTGTCACCAGCCGAGAATTCAACGTCTCATCCAATGTTGGGGACCCGGACTGACACTATCGAATGGTGCACCCCTCGGACATTGCCCTGGGACCCTCAATGCCCCCGTCTTAACACAGAACATAGAACAGTACAGGCCCTTCAGCCCACCATGTTGTGCCGACTTATTATCTTACTAAGATCAAACTACCCTGCACACTGTACATTTTACTGTCCTCCTTGTGCCTATCCAAGAGTTGCTTCAATGTCTCCAAAATATCTGATATGTGTGTGACAGGAGGGCAGAGACGGTGTTTTAAAAAGGGGTAGAGTTTATTCTGCAGGACTGTACGATTATTTCTTGGGACAGTATAGAGACCTGGTGCCCATGTCCTGGTCGGCCAAATGATACAGTGATAAAGTACTGGGGAATTTAGCAGTTTCAACGATTTGCCAAGTTCGTAACATCCCCAGGAGTGAGACAGCTCAATACAGAGTGCAGGAACCCAGTGACATGCACCAGTTTACAGACACAGAGAGATAGAGAGAGAGAGAGATGTTGGAGCTGGAGGAACGCAGCAGACCAGGCAACATCAGAGGAGCAAGGGAACGTTGACGTTTCGGGACAGGACCCTGGTTCAGAAACGTCGAATCTCCTGCTCCTCTGATGGTGCCTGTGTTCCTCCAGCTCCAGCGCTGCGTAATCTCTGACACCAGCGTCTGCAATTCTCACACTTTCTGATGTTGGAGCACAGCTCAAATTAAACCCACATCTCATTCCTGTCAGGAACGGAAAGACCAACAGTGGTTAGGAGCAGAGGATGAAGATCTCAAAGGATTCGAATGGAAACCTGGGGCGAACAGTACGACCAAAGGGGTTTTTATCTGGAGCAAACCCTTCCTGATGGAGACAGGGAGAGGAAAGGTAGCTCAGCGCTGAGGGAGGGGGCACTGTCGGAGGTTCAGCGTTGAGGGAGCGGGCACTGTCGGGGGGTCAGCGCTGAGGGAGCGGGCACTGTCGGAGGATCGGCGCTGAGGGAGTGGGCACTGTCGGAGGGTCAGCGCTGAGGGAGCGGGCACTGTCAGAGGGTCAGCGCTGAGGGAGCGGGCACTGTCGGAGGGTCAGCGCTGAGGGAACGGGCACTGTCAGAGGGTCGGCGCTGAGGGAGCGAGCACTGTCAGAGGGTCAACGCTGAGGGAGCGGGCACTGTCGGAGGGTGAGCGCTGAGGGAGCGGGCACTGTCGGACGGTCAGCGCTGAGGTAGCGGGCACTGTCGGAGGGTCAGTGCTGAGGGAGCGGGCACTGTCGGAGGGTCAGCGCTGAGGGAGCGGACACTGTCGGAGGGTCGGCGCTGTGGGAGCGGGCAGTGGAAAAAAACTAAGAAGTGTCACGAAGTGCTGAGTTGAGACCTGAGAGGAGAGTGTGACACGAGCCCTTGTCCCGCGTAGGCCAATAACAACTGGGAGGACAATAGGAAATGCTTTGAACAGTTCGAAAAGGACCTTGTCTTACAGGTGGCGATCTTTGTGGTGGATTCCGAGGGTTGTAACACTGTCGGACAAGACACAGCCTTCATTGTCCAACTATCAGCACTCAGCATGTTACTCAGTTCATACTTGGTGAGTCTGTCCCAGCGTGGGTTCCCACAGGAGTCTGCTACCATAATCAGTCTCACACTCGGGGTGGGTTATAACAGACAGCGTGACCCTCGGGCTGTGTTATAACAGACAGCGTGACCCTCGGGGTGTGTTATAACAGACAGCGAGACGCTCGGAGTGGGTTATAACAGACGGCGTGATGCTCGGGGTGGGTTATAACAGACGGCGTGATGCTCGGGGTGCGTTATAACAGACAGCGTGATGCTCGGGGAGGGTTATAACAGACAGCGTGATGCTCGGGGTGGGTTATAACAGACGGCGTGATGCTCGGGGTGGGTTATAACAGACGGCGTGACGCTCGGGGTGCGTTATAACAGACGGCGTGACGCTCGGGGTGGATTATCACAGACGGCGTGATGCTCGGGGTGGGTTATAACAGACGGCGTGACGCTCGGGGTGGGTTATAACAGACGGCGTGACGCTCGGGGTGGGTTATAACAGACGGCGTGACGCTCGGGGTGCGTTATAACAGACGGCGTGACGCTCGGGGTGGGTTATAACAGACGGCG